GAAAACTTTTTGCATAACCGAGGTTATTTAAAGAGAAAGTCGATGAAGAGAATCGATCAAAGCAGACAGGCCCTTTTTCCAGCTCTGAATAGATTTTTCAAAGGTATCAATATTTTCAAATCGATGCCTATAGACTGTTCCAGAAAGTATAAGCACACCTTATTTTAACGGTCACATTGAATATAATGAAATATTTCAACATGTTTTGGCTGCGTCCTTTTGTTTGCTCATTTCTGAATGACATAGCATCAAAAAAGTGCTCAGGTTTGTGTTTCCTGTCAAAATGCGTGGTCTTACTCCGGAACAACGAAAAAGTATCGTGCACAAATGGTGCACTGTGAGCGGACTCTCCTTGAGAAAATTGACCAAGGAAGAGGGTGTAAGCGTCGGAGCGATACGAACTGCGATTAAAAAATATAGAGAACAGTGTACGTTTGAAGATGCGCCGAAGAGTGGCCGGAAATCTGGTCCTGTAAGTCCGGATATCGATAAAAAGATCAGGGATGCCTACAAACGAAAACAAGCGATGATGTTGCGAAAAAACTAGGGACCTCGTCGAGTAACGTCATGCGTGCCAAAGAAAGACTTGGGCTAAAAACATACCGGAAGCAGAAAAAAATCCAAAAGGAACCCAAAACAGGCCGCGTCCGTGAAACCACGGGCCCGCAAACTCTACGACTCGTTATTGTGTCGAAATTCTGGGTGTATAATAATGGACGACGAAACGTACGTGAAACTAGATTACAAAACGCTTCCCGGACCACAATTCTATTCTGTAAGCGAAGGCAAGGACATCCCCGAAACGAAGAAGGCAATTTTCACCGAAAAATTTGGTATGAAGGTTATGGTTTGGCAGGCAATATGCGAGTGTGGTAAAACATCTAGTCCGTACATCACAACGGAGATGATGAACACTCAGAAATACGTTAAGGAATGTCTCCAGAAGCGATTGTTGCCGATGATCAGGCAGCACGAAGGTCAAGTAGTATTTTGGCCTGATTTGGCGTCATTTCATTACGCAAAGGACACTTTAGAATGGTACAAAAGTCAAAATGTATGTTTCGTGCCGAAAGACATGAATCCGCCGAACTGCCCGGAGGCACGGCCAATCGAGACTTTTTGGGCTTTAACCAAAGCAAAGCTTCGAAAATTAATAAAACCAGCTGACGACATCCAAAAATTCAAAAAAGATTGGCCATAAGTGGTCAAAATGGTGGGAAGTACCATTGTGCAGAAGCTAATGGGTCATGTTCGAGGAAAAGTTAGGAGTCTTGGCTATGATTAAATATGTTGATTAAATGAGAGTAAAATATCATTTGAAATACAAATACAAATATGATTTGCCAAATAAAATTATCAAAATTTAAAAAAAAAACCTTACTTTTTTGTTATTTTGAAAGTGTGCTTATACTTTCTGGAACAGTCTATAGACACATCAAGCGTGCAACTACACTTACAGAATTTAAGACACACTGCATTTCACATGTTAAAGACGTTCATTGAGCAGTTATATATGAATTGATAAATAATGTATCTCGAGGAAGTTATCTCTATCGGATTATTTTGTATGGATACTGTCATAAAGGCATTTTAGTAATTTGTGTAGCACATATAAAAAAAACTACATTGCTCGCCACAATGATGATGATGGATTTTTAGTTTTTTTTTTCTTTTTTGTAGTAGTAATAGTAAAAAATAACATTGAGTACACATTAAGATTATTTTACCTAAATCTGTTAAATTTTACCGATCGGTAACAACAGTTCGGTGATTTTTTGCAGTTTTCCTGGAAGTCTTCAACGAATATCTGTGATAAACCACCAAACTGTTTACCGATCGTTCAGCTGTTTAAATTTCTTTTAAATTTCGCAGATTTCAGTAAAATAATCTGAGTGTGTAAAAATTTATGATGAAAAATCTGAAAATAGGTGCAAGCTTTATTTGGTGAAAAACCTCAACATTTTGATGATAGGAGAAGCCAACTATATTGAAAATTTCTGGTGGAAAATGGAAAAGGAAACCTGCACCAATCAGAATATTGGAGAAGTAATTTTTATTGAACATTAACGGTGGAAAATTTGCATAGTTCTGGTCAACTGAAATTTTAAGTGTAAAATTACCTAGGGGCAAGTTTGTATTGAAAATTTCTTGTGTAAGATTTGCAACAATCTGCTGCATGGAGGAACAAGCTGAATTGAACATTTCTGGTAGAAAAACTACAACTTAAACTTGACTTCCGAGAAGAACCTCAAGGGTATTGAATTCTGAGGACAGTTCCAAAAGAAAATATTTCTGGGGATGATTCCATGATAATTCTGCGAATAATTTCTTATGAATCCTGCAGATAGTTTCAAGATAATTTCGAATATAATACCGAGAGAATCAAGTTTTGAATGAAATTCCAAAGGGTTTCAAGGGAATTCCGAGGATAATTTCAAGCCCATTCTGGGAAGAATTTTTGAAGAATACAGAGTAAATTCTTCTGAAACTTTAGGGGAATTTCAGCTCCAAGGTGTTTTGAGAAAAAAAGTTCTAAAATATTCCGATACGAATCTCAAGGACATTGAATTCTTAGAGCAGTTCCAAAATATTTCTGGGGAGAGTTCAAAGAAAATTCTGTGGATAATTTTTAGTGCATCCTGCAGTTAGTTCCAAGATAATTTAGAAAATAATACCGAGAAAATTAAATTTTAAGTAAAATTCCAAAGCGATTTCAAGCAAAATTTCAAGCGAATTCTGAGGATAACTTCTAGCTCATTACGGGAAAAATTTCTGAAACTCTAAAAGAATTTTTGTTTCAAGGTGTTCTGAGAAAAAATCATGAAGAGTTCTAAAAATAATTACAGATGACTTCTGAGAAAAACTTCATAAGAGCTCATTGAGTTCATAAAATTTCGAAAAGAACCTCAAGGAATTCTGAGGATTGACTTTTCTGCAACTGTACAAAGTTAAGAGACAGCTTTTGGATTCCCTTATTGAAAAGTAGGTATTAGTTTGCCATTGAACCTTGGTGTATTGTTGTATTAGTAAGAATTCGTGTAAGAATCTTCTCTGAAAATTTCAAGACATTTGTTACCGTGGTGAAAAAGTTACAGCTGTTTATTTGCGATGGAATAAATTCGGGTTTGTCCTTTATATTGCCTTTAAAACATGTTGAATGTTCGACATCCTTTCCTGTCACCCCGACTGGTGGTACTTTAGGACAAGGTTGACATGCACAATCCTTCGCACAAGTCGTAATTCCGTTAACAATCCTGTACTACAATCGTTACATATTGCTTACAAATTTTAAATGATCCTATTAGCCTTGGCATTTAGTTCAAAATTTGAAGAAAAAAAAATAGAGCTACAATTTTCGCTGAAAATTACCAAGTTCAACGTACTCGCACTGTACTGTTGCGGAACATTGCGAAAACCTTCCGAGGAAAACAAGTGGCAGTCATTGCAGATGAGACGAGCGATTGTGGCCACCACGAGCAGTTGGCGATTGTCATCAGGTATATTGATAATTATGGGATTAAATTGCCAATTCCATTGGCTGTCTGAGAGCAGTTTGCATTGAAGAAGATGAACCATCGCCGGAGCAAAAAGTAGATAAAATTAGCTAAATTGAACAGTAGGGAAACAGTGGTGCGTGGACAGCACCACCCACCACGCACTTTGGAGTACTCCCTATCCCCAGACTAAATGCACCATAGAAGAAAAAATTGCCCCTCCTTAACAAGATTCCTGTGCACGCTAGAGTAGTCTACAATGGTTTGAGTCTCGTGCGCGGAATACAGGAATAAATGGCTGGAAGTCGATTCCATGGACATAGTCCTGGCACTGTGGAAGCTAATACGTATAAATCCCAGGTCACGTGTAAATGGAAGTATTTTCGAGGATTATACTTGGACTCTTGATAACTGGTTACACATGCGATGCCTATAACATATTTTACAGGGAATTTATATCTGTAATTGTAACCAGCTGGTTAAAATGTTTAAATTTTATTATCTTAAAGATAACTCGTCCAGCTCAAACCTTTTTAGGGGTAAGAGGTGGGACCATCAGGGGCCTCCCTTAGCTCAGTCGGTAAAGGCGCAGCTACAAAGCAAGACCATGCTGGAGGTGGCTGGGTTCAATTCCCGGTCCGGTCTAGGAATTTTTCGGGTTGGAAAATTTCTCGACTTCCCTGGGCATAGAAGTATGATTGGACTTGCCACACAATTATACCAATGCAAAAATGGTAGAGGCATCGAAAGCTCTCAATTAATAACTGTGGAAGTGCATCTAGAACACTAAGTTGAGAACACGCAATAAGCTAATATGCGATATGCAATAAGCTTGAAATGCGAAGAAGAAGAAGAAGAAGGTGGGACCATCATCATCATCATCTTTACACTCCACCATGGTACCAGCGAGCCGCCGTCTCTTCACGCAAATTGACAGTATCTTATATGATTTTTAACTGGAGTGAAAGCCCCCCATGTTTCACACCCGATTTACAGAATTAACCGAATTGTGCAGAAATACTGGGACCCGTAAGTGAGTTCTACGGAATGTGCACCTTTTTATAGGACATCTTACCAAACTACCACGCTCCGCTCATCACTTTCAGAAGTGATGACATCAGCGCAATTGAACTCAAAGAAATCACTGTTGATGCGGCCCACAGCTTTATTACAAAAGATTGATATGGCTAGCTATGTGGTATAGCTTGGGCACCATTACTCTAATAAATCGATTTGGTTTCTTTCGTATACGTAGAAAATAAAGAATATAAATGGTTTTACCTTACTGTGTATCATCAACCTATTTGCTTACATGGGCAATTACGTTTGGTGAAAACAATTGTACTAGACCATGAATTGAACAGTTTCATGGGATATGACGAAACAAAGGGAAGTACGACGAAGTAGTGCAATGTCCTTTTAAGAGTGTAGCCACGAACAATAAACTAATTTCGGATCAAAGTAGGAGACAGATTTTCAATATACTTTCATATTTTTTTTATTATTTTGAGATAATATAATTATATAATATTTCGATTTACTATGTACAATTGGAGATTATCTGATCATTTACTTAATTATCAATTAATTAGCAATCCTTTTTCTCGATAAGTAACCATCGCGTTGCTTTTCTTTTCTTTTACAGCTGTTGTGATTTGATAATCTCTTGTTAGCGTCCTCCTCTGGAAACGGAAGGGCGCATTTGCTTACATTATCTCTAAATCATCGATCCATGTACAACTATATAGCATTTTGATGGGCTTTTAATTCATTTAGTCGTTTAATCTTATGTTTACCTAATCTTATCGCGGTTTTCTTTTGCTTTCTTTTCATGATGTTAAAAAGTTGGTTCTTAAAAAGAATACGACTGAAAATAATAACTTTTCAGCAAACACTAATAAAACGAATCAAGTCTTGCTTGAGTATTTCGGCTAGGTGGCGAGAGGAAATAAATACGAAAACTGAGCTCAAACTCATACCTTCTGTCAATCCTCTCTCATTCACTCTTTCTGTCTGGAAAATAAATTGCACAAATTCTCTCACCGTATAATCCAGTTGCCTTAACTATCCTACACACGAGTGAGCATTTTAATATCAGATTTTTTTTGTATGTTTTGTTACACGCTCTATCCATGCTGCTGGACTTGCTTGAAGCATGCTGATCACCAGACATGGATTTACACCTTCCGATAAATTTCTGCATTGTTTAATTTTTCTTAAAAGGAGATTTTGTAACACATTTGGCGCTTGCAAATCGATGTATGATGTTCTTTTTTTCCACTTCTTCATTTGTTAAATACTTGCGTTCACTTTTTCTGATCCTATCAAAAAATACTGATATGAACAATTTGATATCGATTCTTCCTCAATTTTGATTGATTCTTTAGGTTTCTTTTTACACTACTTTCGAACTTTGAGAAATGTTCGTTCTTCATTTCTGCTGGTACTTCCGTCCTATGGCAGCCTAACAAATAAATTAAGGTTTCGTTCGCATGAGATTAACTCAAAACAGTAACATTGAACAAAAAGACACGAACTTGCTGATTGGCGTTCGCACGGTTTGATATGATTGTAAGAAGACTGGCGGAACTGAAGCATGAAAGCATGAAAGCATTTTGGGGGCTTTTTAATGATAATGGTTTTATTTCAGCAGGATCTTGCATCTCCTTCAACGCAAAATCGGTTATGAAAACATTGCTAAGTAGACACATTCGTTAACAAATTTTTCCCCATGCTTAATCGTTGTCGTGATATGAGAAATAATGATTGGCAGCCCGAGCTTACACCATTCCATTTACATATTTATCCTGTGGATTCATGTAATCTAGCCCGTTGGGGCTGAAGGTTTGCCCTCCCATGGGACCGGTCAGAGCAGAAGTCGAGGCCAGACCGAAGTTTGCCGACGTCGTGTACCCAGAATGGCCCATGTTGTAGTTACTCTGGTTCTGGTTCTGGAAGTAATCCATCTGACTGTAGTAGGATGGAGTGTTGTAGTTGTTGGGGTACTGTTGGTACTGGTTGTGCCAGAAATTGTACGTTTCATGGTTTGGCACGTACGATAGTGGATTATGTGAGGTTTGCGGAGTGATTGGAGGTGAAGGTGTGGTCATGATCGATGAATTTGAACCTAGAGGCGTCAGATTGCCCGCAGACGGCCCATTTGAGACTCCAGCCCCGCCAGCCCCCAGTGACTGCCCTAACCGGGAATTGATGTTCACATAGGCTGGTGTGTGGTGAGATAGACTTAGCTCGGGATCTTTCAGCAGATCGTAGCCAGAGGAGGCTTTCATCGAGTCGTTGTTTTGGGTATGGTGGAAGGACGGTTGCTCCTTTTTACAGATCACATTGATTGGTGGACTCACCGAAGTCGATGGCGTGATTGGAAGGATCGGTGAGGCATTACTATGGGTTATTCCTAGACTAGCACCGTTGTGACTGCTTGAATGGTTGCTTGCACTATTTCCAGTATTGCTAACATTCGCTCCGCCGGCACTGTTTGCTCCACTGGACGAATTGTTGTGGCTATTCATCGGCGTGTGTTTGATCGTGGGCTTATTGTTCGCATTGGCGATTGACGAAGTCTTATTACTACTGGCACCGGTGGCTGTTGCGTGGTTGTTGTTGTTGTTGTTATTTGACGACGATGACGATGATGAACCGGTATTGGACTGCCGCGTGGACGAACTGCTGGACGTTTTACTGCTGTTGAGGTTCGAGGAGGTCTGATGTTGAAGCTGCTGACGACATTTGGCTCGCCGGTTCTTAAACCAAACCTGCAATTGAGAGAGGAAAGATGTCTGCTGATGATATTTTGTCTAAATAGGGTTGATGAACTTGAAGTCGGCCGAAGTGTCCCTGACATTGGTCAGGGCTGGTAGTGGGTATGTGATGTAATAGTAGTGACTTTAGTGACTAAAATTCCGAAAATAGTGACTTTTAAACAATAGTAAAGTAACCATTAGTGACATTTATTGATCGGAAAGATATGGTTTCAATCATCCGTTATTCCGGTATTTTTTTTTTTTTTTCCTTGGGTTTGTTTTTCCGTCGATCTTGTTTTCCGTGCTGAGCACCAATGCTACCGACGCCAGGAAGGCAGCTCCCACACCTGGACCCTACCTATCGACCCATCAACTCATGAACCGGGGACCAACGGCTTACTTCCCTTCCGAAGGAAGGCGTGATCAGAGATGTTATGCCTCAGAACATCCCGGCGGCGCCAACTGGGATTGAACCCAGGCCTGCTGGGGTGAGAGGCAATCACGCTTACCACTACACCACCGGCGCTGCTATTCCGGTATTTTTCATGCTTTTTAAAAATAAAACAATTAATTTAAGGATCACATAAATTTTGTATCGAAAAATAAGTATGAATTGAATGAGCCCAAATTGAAAAAGCTCCAATTCAACCTCTGTAAATCACAAATTTGTTATTTGATCGCGAAATAAAGGCACAGAGAAAAATGTTGAAAGTTCCGATTTAAGACAGTTATTTGAAGATATTGGATATATATGAAGCGATGCATTTAGCAACATGAAGAACTGCAGTCTAAGTCTATCTAATAGCAAATTTGTTTATTGTTCAGTTCCAACCTGGATCGGGTATCAAGATCGGGTCTGCTTGTTTTCTGACAAACGTCAGTTTGATCGTTTGTTTTTAAAACCTACCTCAGGTTGAGGTTCGCACTGACAAAAAGTTCAATTTCGCACTGGGTTGGAACTGGTTCCAACCCCAATAATAAACAAATGCGCTATAAGTTAGCCATGAGTATATTAATAAAAGATCCTTCACTTTTTTGTAGTCGCTATAACGAACTGGTCGTCTTTTTACTTTGCTCCATTCCTCCCTCCCAAGAATAGAATTTTCTGTAACACCTCAACACATAGAAAACAAATCATAACTCTGGGACAACTTGTCTAGATCGCAGTTTAAGAAAAAATCTCATTATTATGGCATGAGGAAATTTTCCCAGATGGAATGATCACGGACCTAAAACAACGAATTGCACACAAGTAAATGAAAATTACTTTGACCTGCTTTTCCTACTTTTGGGTTCCTGCACTATAGTGCCGAGATGAGTGAAAAGAACTTATTTTTGGGTACTTTTTTCTAACCGTGTAGATCATTTTTTGACATTATACATTAAACCAACGAGAAAGGTAATTTTTCCTGCAAATTCAGGTAACCTCTTCAAAATAGGACTTCAATGACATGGTAATGAATTTCACTGGATTCACTGGTAAAGTTTAAGTGAAATTCCCTTCAGTTTTTCGTGATTTCATGGTATGAAAATTTTCTCGATGTATTCGTAATTCAAAAATAGCGATGGAAGAAAGTGCGCATTCACCGCTGTTGAGAGAGTTGGAATTCCCTGGCTTCTTCAAGCGTAAATTTTATAATTTTTATAGATCAACACTCATTTATACATTAAAAATAAAATTGCAGAATATGAGTGAATTTCAATTTTTCTAGAACGCAATTCTTTAATGACTCAAATTAATCGAAATCTATATCTATAGTCTATCACCAATTCACTTTATCATTGCTACAAAATCCAGTAACATCTAATTGTTAATTCCCCTAACTTTTAAGTGATGCCAATTTGAAGATTATCGGAAAATCCGATGAAATTTTCGTGAAAATCAATTGAATTCTATGTCCCAAGTAGCATTTCTTGTTTTATTGCACTCTATTAGTGGTTATTGAGATCAATTTCATAAAACCGCCAATAAAATTAATAGCTCCAGCACAACCTTTTGATAACCGCTATAAGATCGTCATACAGCTTAGTGGACCACTCTTGATAAGGTTTATAAAGCATGTTTGAGAATCACAATAAAGCTGTCTTAAAACCTTTTGTCAGGAAGCCTCATACTCTACAAAAGGTTCTCATAGCCTCTATAAGAGTAACATTGTATCCAAGCAGTTTTATTACGCTTTGGTGAAAATCAGTTATAAAGCCAATTTAATTTTTATTGGCTTCAAAGCAACCGCCATAAATTAGCTTGTTGTTGTTCTGTTCTGCTGAAACTTTTTTTCCAAATGGAAATCTTTAGCGGTAAAAATAGGTTTGAGTGTTGGTGTCAAGATCACCATGCAATCAATTTTGTTTCATGGCGACATTAGTGAAAATCTTAAAGAAAATATATTACTTTTTAGAAGTTCCAAAACATATGCGCTTGAAATGTTATCGTTATATATTGAGCTAATATGAGCATTAAATAAATGCGCCTCCAAAATAATTCAAGTTAACAAAAAAGATTGTTTCAGAAATTAAATGAATTTGATGGAATCACCTTAATTTTACAGAAAATAGATCTCAATACATAAATTCATACCAATGCACACTGGAAATCATTTCGGATCTCTTATTTAGCCATTATTTTATTGAAATTTCTTGGATTTTATTCCAAGGCTAATGGCATTTTCATAATGACAATATGGCGACAGAAGACAGCAGGCAAGAAAAACACCAAGCGCAATTTCTTAAAATGTCTAATGCTTACATTGCACACTGGGTCAGGAATGCAACCTAGCGGAGCAAAATTAATAACTCCGAAACGAAGCATTTCCGCGACTTGGTGTCTTCGGCAAAATTTCTCGTCATAATAAGGACCATCTATTGACATAAACAAATAGTTCAAAACTCTTCCGCAAAGATGGTGTCACAATCTAACTTCTTTCTCTGACGTTTTGGAAACTTGATGTCTTGGGCAAAGTTGTTTATCTTGACAAAATGAACAGGTCTTTCAAAGACGTAAAATTTCCACAGTCTACTGGTTCCAAGTTATATGGAGTTAAAGAAAAAAAATGTCGAAAATATGGTTTTTTTCTGTTTCGGTTTTTTTTTGCTAACAGCTTTATAATGTTATATTTTTCTCTTATGAAAATACATTAAATAAACAGCTTTTGTGAAGAAACATACTGGACTAAGCTTCAAATTTCAAAGACATTTATGAAAAAACGAGAAAAAAAACACAATTTTGACATTTTCAGCAAAAATTAAGCAATACTCGATAAACAAAATATCAAAATTTGAGAGAGGTATATTTTGGTGTTTTGTAGATTTCTTCATTTTAGTGGAACATGTTTTTTTCTATAACTTTTTTTAATGCATTGAATTTGTGTTTCGAAGACTTCACGACTTTGTCAAAGTTGGTTATCTTGATAAAATAAACAACTTTTCTTAATACGTTAAAACTCCACAGCCTACTGTTTTCGAGTTATGTGAAATAACAGAAAAAAAATTGCTTCGTTTCGGAGTTATTAATTTTGCTCCGCTAGGTTGCATTCCTGGCCCAGTGTGCATGGGATGAAAGCAGAACAGAAAAGGATAATGCATGATTTTATTACGAGAACTATTTTTTTTACAAGAGCAATTCAAGCTGAACTTTGCATTAGGTCCTAAGTAACATTGATCGATTCTCTTCGTCGACTTTCTCTTTCGTTAATAACTTATTCACAGAACCGTTTCTTGATGTGTTTGTCGTATTGGATGCTAGATAAAAGCTTCTTTTATCGATTTATGTGCTGAAAATACCTGGGAATGTCTTTACATGAACGTGGGGATGCAAAGAGAAAGTTGACGAAGCGAATCTGTCAATATTACTTAGGACCTTATGCAATTTTCAGCTTGAATTAATTTTTTTATTTGAGGGCAAATGTATATTCCTATTCTACGGGTGCAACCGATGAATTTTAAAAACATTTAGAAAAGTTTAGAATGGTACATTAACCTTTATGAAAAGTTATGCGTGATTTCAACCTAGGACTGTCACCATTCCATGTATTTCGACCAAGATTCGACCGTGTCACCCCATGTATATGCGAGCGAGAACGGAAGAATCATGGAGATTGCTGACGTTTTTCTTACGCACATTACGTCGCGTATACGTATACACGAAATGTTTTCATGCTCATGCTAACAATTTTGTTGATTTTCTTTGCGCTCCGCTTGGAAGTACCGGAAAGTTTTTATTCTTTTCTATGTTGTAAAAATAAACCACCTATTTACATTTCTGACAAGTTGCAACTGAATGCTTATAATTGTTTTAAAATAACTGTTTCATGGCCAACTAGTTTTATTGCGCTTACTTACAAAGCAACGATAGGATTTATTTTTTAGTTTTATAAGGGCAATTTATATTACTTTTTTGTATACTTCAAAGCAATCATAAAACCTTTCATAAGTGAAAATAGCATAAGCATCAGTTGGTTTTTTAATTAGCTTTATAGGGGTTTTGTAGATAGCTATAAGAATGTTTCATGACTTGCATTGTATATGACCGTCATAAAGCTGTAGGTAATGGTTGCAGCTGCAATAAAACCTTTATAAATTTTGAATATAGCCAAGCAGCTCTAGATTTGTTACTTGGGGTGAATCACTGAAATGTAATCTCTCCCCCAAAACACGTAAAATTCACCTGAAAAGTATGATGGAAAATGTGTACATGCCTAATCAGGTGAATTTTACGAAACTTTTTGTTGCAGTGCAGGCTTGGATAACTTTCAAGATCTCAATGTAAAACAGCCAGAATATTGGGTCTAAAGCTTTTTTAGAAATCTCTGAAAATTTATGATAGGTCTATGACAATTGCAAGATAAAAATAAATAAAATATTAGATTTCGTGAACAGTAAACGTTTCCATATGTTCGCAACTCTTCTTGTCAGACTTTACTCTGAGTTTTTAAAGTCAAATTATTTACACTCAACATTGGTTGTAAAAAAGTGACTTTAGTGATTAAATTTTAAGGAATAGTGACTTTAGTGAC